TGTGTTTACTCCACCCATGACCTTTGGGCACTGTCTCCCATTCCCAGTCAGCACTTGCCTATTGGACCTGACAGTTGACTTGACTTTACCCCATTTATCTTGCTCCCTCTGTCTCCATCTCAATCTCGATCAAGATTTTGTAATTCCCCTTTGGTTCCTCCACTCTCAGCCACCCTGGTACCTCTGTTCCTAAACAAGGCCCATGCCTTTGACTCAAGTGGATATGCTTGCTTCTGCTCAAGTTCAGTCCGCCCAAAAAGAGTGATTCCCAAGTGCTTTATTGACTAAACTTCCTTTTCATTCAAGAGTTCCACATGCATGTCTATAAATTGCCATATGTAATCCCTATCAATTGCCAGAAATCCTGACGATTTCTTTCTGAATCTGAGTTTATCTGACAATTTGTCAGGACTAAAGACTAACGTTGAGCTAATGTCAATTTATCTGACAATTTGTCAGGACAAAAGACTAACCTTGGGCTAATGTCAGTAAACAAGAAAGAGCTCAGGAACAGAAAACCAAACACCACATGTTCTCACTTATAAGAGGGAGCTGAATGATGAGAACACATGGACACATGGGGCAGCAGGTGGGGGGAACAACACACACTGTGGCCTATCAGGGTGTGGGGAGGGAGAGTATCGGGAAGAATAGCTAATGGATGTTGGGCTTAATGCCTGGGTGATGGGTTGATCTGTGCAGCAAACCACTATGGCACATGTTTACCTGTGTAACAAACCTGCACATCCTAAGCATTTTCCCCAGGACTTAAAAGTTGAAGAAAAAAAAAAACAAGAAAGAACTTCAGTAAATTCATCAATTAGGATTATACCTGTGGTTTTGGTGTGGACAAGAAATATTTATTATCTTTTTAATCCTCATGTCTTGTGACGAAGTACCATTTCTTTGCTAAATTCATCAATTAGGATTATACCTGTGATTCTAGTGTGGACAAGAAATAGTTATTGTCTTTTTAATCTCCTCATGTCTTGTGATGAATTACCATGTATTATTTTCTCATTTGTTAATTGTTATTTTATAATTAACAAATTGTTAATTTGTTATTTTCTCATTTGTTAATTGTGTATCAACCCCCACTTTATTCCACCCAGAATGTAAGTTTCTTCAGAGCATGGACTTGACCTGTTTACATCCACAGCTCTATCATCAGCACCTAAAATACTACTTGGCAAATAGCAGGCAACCAATTGGTATTTGTTGAATACTCAGTGAATGAAAGCATAAATGAATGGCTGGGAAACAGAATGGAATTGTGGTTGGAGCACAGCCTTTGGCATCAAAGAGATCTCAGTTCAAGTTTTGGATATGCAACTTCTTAGCTATGAGTCTTCTCTGAATTTCAGTTTCTTCATCAATAAAATAGGGGTAATAATAGTGCCTACCTCAGAGATTTTGGGGAGCATTAAATAAGATAATGCCTGTAAGGTCCTTAGCATGATAGCTGGCATATTTTAAGAACTTAGTAAATGTTGTCTATTATTTTCAGTGAAAGTCCTCAAATGTTGAAGCTTATCAGAGGTAATTGAATTATTTAATATGACTGGTAGTGATGATTGTACTAAAGACAAATTAGTGTAATTAGTTTGTCAGCAAGATTGGATTTAAAGAGTCAGGTTGAACAAAAAAATGTATTAGTCACACCCACCATATTTAAAGCACTATACTAGACTTTCAGGAGTGAGTGGGATGCAAGGATATGACACAGCCCCTTCCCTCTAGGAACATAGAACTGAGATTTACTGTGTGTGCATTGTACTATGCTGAAGATACAGAAATGCGAGGCAGTGTTACCTCCCACATCATCCAATTTACTCTCCATGCTCTGCAGAAAATTCTTCTAAAACACTCAGCTTTGCTTTGAACCCCTATAAAGACAAGAAACTCACTGACGTATGAAACAGATGATTCTCTTTGGGAACAGTGATCACCACTAGAATGATCTTAAAATTAGCCCAAATCTACCATCCCATGATTTTTACACATTGCTCAAACTTCTGCCTTCTGGGCACCTCTAGAATAAATTCATTTTGCACTCTTCTATCAGAGTTCAGCAAAGTAATGCCTGCAGGCCAGATCCAGCCCATTTATTTATATAAATAAAGTTTTATTGGAACACAGCCAAGCTTATTCATGTACATGTTGTCTGCGGCTGCTTTTGTACTACAGTAACAGAGTACTCGGAACATTTAGCCTACAAAGCTGAAAATATTTACTATTTGGCTTTTGAAGAAAAACTCTTGCAACTTCTGCTCTATGTGACAGAACTTGAAGATAAGTAACATGCTTTTTCCTAAAGTGAGGAGGAGCAGGGAAATAAGCATGGGAGCTAATGTAGAATTCACAGAACTAAGTAGTACTATCACCTCCCCTGTTCTGGATGCAATACTTCAAATGATGTGACCAGAGATCAGGTTGGTCTTTGACTGACACACAATACTCAAGTATATAAAAGATGAAATCTGTCAGTTATTTCTCCTAGGAGCTTCTATTAAATTATGTCTCCCCACCCCATAATGGTATATCCTCATACTAGGAAGTATATACAAAATTTTACATCTCTCTTGCTTGTCCAGAGCAATCAGGCACAATTTAGCACATATTCAAGGGCCATCTTAGAGTCAGACAGAAAAAGGATGGCATGCACAGCTAGGATTTTGAAGAGAATATAAAGAGACTCTTTACATGCCCAGGGGTAGGGTTAGAAGAATAAGTGAATTTGTCACCCCCCATCTGCATGAAGAAGAATGGAGAGGGAATAATTTTGCCAGGGCCCAGTGATAGCTGGAGTCATGACTACTTAACTGGACTTGTGGTAAAAGAAACACAACCACGGCTAGCACCAGTCTCTGAGGCAGGCAGAGCGGAAGGGAAATCGATACCCTGACATGCCCATCTCCGTGCTCTACCCACTGTGGGTAGAACTCTACTTGAAGCTAGAGGGCACAGGAGTCAGACTCGCAGGGCGCAGAGCAGGTAAAGAATAGATGTGGGAGCCAGGGCAGAGGATGACAAGGGCTAAGTGGTGAGCCAAGCATTTCATAAATGCTGAATGAATAATAGATGAATGGACCAAGTGGGCCCAGGGCCTGTCACTCAATCAGTGTTTGTTGAACTGCAGAAGCCATCCCTTTATGCCCGCCTGCCCTGAAGCCCTCACTGCTGCCGTTTGCTGTTCCAGACGCCCCACCGCCAGCACAGCCCTTGTCCTGGTTCCCCACTCCCTCACTGACCCCTCAGGGTTTCTGTCAAGAGTGTAAAAACAGTCTGGATCTTATTTGGGAGATGACAGAATGGAACAGGATTTGCTCTGAACAGAGCAGAACAACTCTAATCAAAGACAGAACTTTAAGTTCTAAAATAATTCTTAGAATCTAATTTTTTTTAAAACAGAAAATTTGGTGTCACTGCATCCTATGGAGAAAAATGAGTGGCTTCTAAGAAGCATGCCCCAGACATCTGTGTCACAGGCTCTGGATCCAACAGGCCCCTTATTATCAAATGCCTCGTGGCTGGCTGTCTTTTGCTCAGATGGCCCTTGCCACATGGTAGCCTTTGATTGTAAAGACTTCCAGGCTCTTGATTAATCATGCCAACAGCAGCAATGTTGAGAAAATGGTGTGTGTGTTTGTGTGTGTTTGTGTGTGTGTGTGTGTGAGTGAGAGAGACAGAGAGAGGTTGTCAATGGCATGAGGCTGCTAGTGACCAACCACAGCATCCTGCCAGTCAGCTCCTCCTCTGTCCATTGAGTCAGCATGGAGAATATTCAGCACTGGCTTCCTCAAGGAATAATCCTGAAGATTCTGGATTTTGAAGACTTAGAAAAAGCATTGTTTGGTCTGTTACTCTGGTTAGATTATTTGCCTTTGCTTGGAATGGGCAAGACAAAATTGGGCATTAAATTAAGAATTGCTGTTCATATATACCGAAGCCCATTTTGAAAAGTAGCTGTAGGCTGGGCGTGGTGGCTCACACCTGTAATCCCAGCACTTTGGGAGGCCGAGGCAGGCAGATCACTTGAGGCCAGGAGTTTGAGACCAGCCCGGCCAACATGGCAAAACCCCATCTCTACCAAAAATACAAAAAATTGGCCAGGTGTAATGACGTGTGCCTATAGTCCCAGCTACTTTGGGCAGGGGGTGGGTGAAGTGGGAGAATCACCTGAGCCCTGGGAGGTTGAGGTTGCAGTAAGCTGTGATTGTGCCACAGCACTCCAGCCTGGAGACAGAGTAACAGCCTGTCAACAACAACAACAACAACAAAAACATAGACCTATGCAGGTCTATTTTGCAATCAAGTCCGGAAATCATTTTTTTTCTAAGATCCATACATCTAACAGCTGTCCCTTCATGCCTCCCAGACCCAGACCAGTCAGTCCCCAGAGTCTGAAAGTTCTTATACAAAACCCAGAATTCCAATTCATCTATAACTATGTCACAATTTGTTAATAAATTTCATTAAGGTCTCCAGGACCAAATTTTATGAAATCTAATCCCAACTAGGATAACTGGCAAAATTTGAGTAAGCCTATAGATTAGGTAATAATACTGTATGGATGTTAATTTTCTGATGTTAATTATTGTACTACCTTTAGGTAGGAGAATTGTCCTTGTTCTTAGGAAAACACACTGAAATATTTAGGGGTAAACATGCATCATGACTGTGACTAAGTCACAAATAATTAGGAAGTAACTTTTATGTACAGAGAAGAAAGATAATAAATCAGATGTGGTAAAATACTAACAACTGACGATGTGGGTCAAGAGTATATGATTTTTAAAAAAATATTTTATAACTATTCTATAAGATTAAAATTACTTCAAAATAAGGCTGCCAAAAAACTAATTTTAGAACATTAGAGCAGTCTCATGCCTATCACTGAGGAGCCAGTGTTCAGCCATGCTACATACTGCAGAGTGAGCCAGAAATGGAATCTCCTGTCCTCCCATCTTTCAGCTAAAATGAACCATTTCCTCTTTCAGCTGAAGAACTCTCCTATTCATGGAGGCGAACACTGAGGATGCTTTCCACATGAATCCTGAAGGTAAGGGGGACTTGTTCACATGCCCCTCGGTCACACCACCCATCTGCCCCACTGTCCGTTTCATCCAGGGCAGGGGCTCAACTATCTTGGTTCACGGAATGTCATCTCAAACCAGTCAATGTCTACACTGGCACATTCTGCTGTCTTCAAAGGCTATTTCAATCTCCTCAGCCTGTCCAGCTCAGAAAACCTGATGTTCATCCTTTGCCCCGTTTTTCCTCAAAGAAAATACCAAAGCTTTTCATAGCTGATACCTCCTAGTGGTGCAATCATGAGAGAGTTTTATTTTGTCCTTGTAGAGTTCTGTAATTGAGAGATTATCGACAATGACTGTGTTACTTTTAGAATGAGAGAGAGAAATATTATGCTTGCTTTTATTTTCCTAAGCAACTCTACATAAATTCTTGCCACAGCTTTCTGGGCCCTGTAATGTCACTGCTGTGTCTCCTTCCTCCCAGCCCTCATGGCAGGACTCATATTGACAGGCTCTGGGTCTTCCCTCATCTATCAGTGGCAAGGAAACCCTAGGCTGCCAGGACTGCCTAGCAAATAGATCATGAAGTATTATGACTCCATTTTACAGATGGAGAAACGAAGCCCCCCAACTTGCCTCTATCTATACTACAGTCAAATGGGATCTGGACCCGCTGAGATGAGCTTGACATGTACAACTTTGAGGCTGTACTCTCTCATTCAGAGGAAGTTAAGGAGCCAGGAAGATAGGAAAACGATGAAGTTATTGGTTGAAGAAAATTCTAGGCAAAATTTTCCTGGGACTTCTTGGGGTCATCTAAGGGAACTTACTAGTCTTCCCACATTGAAACATGATAGCCCCTTGAGAGCCATCATGCCGCTTTGGTGTCAAAAACTGAGCCTGAACTTGCCCTCTAGACCAGGGTTTCTCAAACAACACTGTGGACGTTCTGAGTCAGATTGTTCTGGGTTGTGGGGCTCCTCTGTGCATCATATGATGCTCAGCAGCCTTCCTGGTGTCTCCCACTAAATACCAGAAGGATGCCACCCACCCCCGCTCTAACAACCAGTGATGTCTCCAGACAGTTCCAAGGAGGACAAAACTCCCCCCAACAGAAGTAATAATAAAATAATGTTTCCAGGCTTTGCCAAATGTCCTCCGAGTGGGGACAAAATTGTCCCTACCAAGAACCACTGCTCTAAGTTGTCTCAGCCCAGCGGTAGCTTTTGTTTTTCATGGAAATCAACTGAAATTTACAGTGTTCAGAATAAAACTAGCAAATACTTGCAGAAGAAATGTCATCAGTCATCAAAATGCTCTGGGTACAAGAGCACCCCATAGCATAATAGCCCTGCCCAGGAGCCTCTGGTAACATTGGAAGGGGTGAATCGAGCCATTCAGACTTCTCTGAGTTGCTTTCTCCAGTCTTGGCTTCTACCCCCTGATGTCAAATACCTCATGCTATTTACTAGAAGGAAAGGCAAATGAAAGAGAACAGGGCAATGCTGAAGACTGAGTGGACCCTTCCTTTAAGAGTTTGAAGAGGTCAGAAAGCACCCAATAGTCTGAGCTGTGTTGCAAAGCTCCGGGAAAATTTGGCGCTACTTTGTATTTGTGTGTGTATTCATTATTCTTAGACATGTATTCATAGACAACATTATTGCACAAAAGATGTGAGACATAGTCTCTGCTTCGCTTTATATAATTTCAACTTTTTACAGCAAAAGGCTCACCATTCTAAAGAGTGACTTAACCAGAAATTTTTTTTTTTAATTAACCAAATAGTATGGAGTAGATAAAGTGGTGGTAGCAGATTTACCTGTGGTACCAATTGGCAAACCAAGGCCCTAAAAGGAAATTCCAAAGCCCTAGGGTTTGTACACACACTTCCTACTCATCTTTGAGTGCATCTCGAGGACCTTTTATTCCTCTGATTGATCTGCCCCTGACCCCTGCACCCAGCCTCCATTATCCTCCACCCTTTCCCAACCTGGTGTTTGGATTACAAAGATGCTTCTGATTCCAGTGGATATCTGTGAAATCACAGGCAGGAACTTGAAAGCAGTTATATGGTCAAGAGAAACAGAAACACAGCTCAGTTTCAGGGTAAAAAGAACATCCAGAAAGCAATATTCATAGAAGAATTCGGAGGGGGGGAAGCTCCTTGAAAGAGGGGATTAAAAATTAAGAGTAAAATTGCAATTCCTGTCCAAGACCCGACCCAAAGTGTCACAGTTCATTTTGCAGCCTTTAATATGATGTCTGGTCTCTTTAACTTAATTGTTAACTTTCCAGTCCTGTCCCAGTGGTAATCATCACTCCCTAACAATCACTCCATCGTGCCCCATACCCACCCAGGGTGGAACAAACTGTCTCTCTGCCTGGCATGCCAGATTCTTTTGCAAGAGCCCTGGCATCCTTCAGGCTCTGCCCATTCCAACCCTCCCACCTCCAGCCCTTTCCCAGGCTCCCATCCACACAATTCTGCCCTTAACTCTGTCCAGACTGCAAGAGGTCAGGAGGAGCTTAGAAGCAGCCCAGGGTGCTAGGGAGGATGTGTCCACCCATAGGGCGTGCTTTGAAGTTCTTTTAAAGCTGTATACTCATAATCTTTTCCCCCACCACTTACCTGTTAGAGTTTCTCAAATTCCTATCATTTGAACCTCTGCTTTGACTAAATTGTAGCATTACTCAAAACCTACACATGTACCTAAGAGAGAAAGGCCTTAATTTATGGATAGCAATTTGTTTATGAGATTGTCTTGCTGGTGCTTCTCTAAGAAGAGAGCCTTGGGATTGGGACACAGGACAAATTAATTTTGATTGCAATGGAGAGACTGAAACGATTGGGATATTGAGCTGTAGACCTGTACTGTCTGATACACAAGCCACTAGCTACTTGTAGCAATTTAAATATGAATTAATTGAAATTAAATAATATTAAAAATTCCATGCTTCAGTCACATTGAGTACATTCCAAATGTTTGCCAGCCTCATTTGGCTTGTGGCTACCACTGGGCAAAGGAAATCCACTGGACGTTTCCATCATGATAGAAAGTTCTGCTGAACAGCATGTCTCAAGACTGAGGCTGGTACTTCCAGCAGAGAGTTCTGGAAAAGAGATGCAGCCCAACATCACCAGCTCTGTGGGCAGGGGTAGAGAAGAGTAGAAGGAACCGAATTCCAAAAGGGAAGGGAGCCAAAGCTCAGGCCCAGCCCTGAGCAAACATGCGTCTGCACCACCCAAACTCTTTATGTTAACAAATGGAAAGAAAGGAGCTACTGGGGTCGGCTTCGTAGCCCATTTCCTCCACTGGATGGCCTCCGAGTTCTGTGGGCTTCTGATGAAGTAAAAGACCCCATCCTGAATCCTGAGGCAAGAGGGACTCAGAGTTTCACTCACATACAGGAGCCACTGGGCTCCTAGACAAAGGGAAATCTCCACCCTGGTGACACAAGGAGCCAGCCAGTCTCCCTGAGCCCACTTAGAGCAGTGAGCTTCCAAGTCAAAAGACATTTCAAGGAAGAGAAGCATCTTCTCCATCTGAAATTAGGCCTCCACTCAGAAAAATCTGAGGAGCCTGGAGGGTTCCAAGGAGCAATTGTAACCCCAACTGATGATGGTGGAGCATTTATCAAGCCTTGCCAATGACAGTGGTTCACGCTTTGATAGCACTTTGCAGCCATGTGGCACGCTTGCACAACAATATCATTTATTTCATCCTTACAACAGTTGACTGAGGAAAGCAGGGCACATGTGACCCTCTCGACACTTTACATTAAAAAATACTCATGCTCAGAAAGAGGAAAAGACATGCCAAATTTTATGTGGCTGATGAATGACAGGACCAGCTCTAGAAACCAACCTCCTATTCTGTCTCTCTCAAGTGATGGGGTTACTTGGTACCTGTCCAAGTCCCTAAGTGTGTCGACTCCAAAGTGTATGCCTGCCTATGGATCATGCTGCAAAGTCAGTTCATATCCAACTCCAAGCTGACAACCGAGCCCTTGAAAGACTTCTGCTAGGCCTCGCTGTCAAGAACATTCCTAAACCAATCACAGGCAAAAGGCAAGTGAGATCACCATGGTTAGCTTAGACTGATACCTCCTCATCTCCTGGGGCTAGATGCCTGATACCTAACAAAACTGGATTCTGTGGACAAAAATGAAGGGAGAAGTGGGTGTTGGAGAAGCAACCAGCAGTGTCTGCCAGACCCGGCTATATTCAGGGCTATGATAGACAAAGAAGAGGGGCTTTCTCCTCCTCTGCTGAAGCAGCCTCCCCAGGCAACCCCTCCTGGCCTCCTAAGTCAGGTCAAATCTGCCTGCTATTGGTTCTCATGGTACCTGCAGGGCTTCTTCTTAGCACTTGCATCATTTACACTGAAGTGTTTTATTAGCTCCTCTCTTCAGGAGACTGGAAGTACTAGGAGGGTTGTTTCAGCACAACATTGTATTCTTAGGACCCTACCCCTGCATCACAGATGCTCAGTTGATATTTGTTGAAGGGTTAACAGATGGGTGGATGGGTAGATTGATGAATGGATGGATAGATGGACGGAAGGATGGATAAATGAATGGGTGGATAGATAGGTGAGTGGGTGGATGGATGAATGGATGGATGGATGGATGGATAAATGGGTGGGTGAGTTGATGGATGGATGGAAAGGTGGGCGGGTAGGTTAATGGATGAGTGGATGGACAGCTGGGTGGGTGGATGGATGAATGGATGGATGGATGGATGGATAAATGGGTGGGTGGGTTGATGGATGGATGGAAAGATGGGTGGGTAGGTTAATGGATGAGTCGATGGACAGATGGGTGGGTGGATGGATGAATGGATGGATGGATGGATGGAT